GCGGCCGCCAGAGAGCCAGCAAGGCGGGCTTGCACAGAGAACACTCGTGTAGGACTGATATCCCGCCTAAAACACTGGGCACGCGACACCTCCGATAAAAGCTCACCCATCTTTTGGCTGAGCGGTATGGCTGGTACTGGAAAGTCAACCATTGCCTACACGCTCTGCCAGCACTGGGACGCAGAAGGCCATCTTGGTGGATCTTTCTTCTGTTCTCGAAATGATGACAAGGCCCGGGCCCGTCCGTTCATCATTCCGACCATTGTTCACCAACTCCTGTACACGCACAAGCCTTTCGCCCACTCACTCCGCGATGTCCCTATCAGCATTGTCATTCCAAGACTGGCTCGCCATGTGGACCAGCTCCTTGTTCAGCCTTGGTTACAGAGTATGGCTTTGCAGTCCTCTGAACATTTGCCTTTGGTGATCGTCATTGATGCACTCGATGAAATTGAGGGCAATAATCATGGCCCTCAATTAATCAAGCAACTCATCCAGGCCATTTCTGTGTCTGGTACAAGGCTTCGGGGGCTCAAATTCCTCGTCACAAGTCGCCCTCACCTCGGAATCAAGGATGAATGCAGCTCCATTGATGAGAAGGCTGTATATCGGATGGAAGAAATTCCTCCAGATGAGGCTGTCGAGGATGTTCGCTACTTCATCAACGCCGAGCTAGCTGCTCTGCCCCATGGCCAACGAGAAGCCATTGTTGACAACTCTTTAGGGCTATTCATTTATGCTGCAACTGTTGTGCGCTACCTTTGCCCTCCAGACTTTCGCTTATCGGCAAAGCAGCAAGAAAAGCGCCTTGACACACTATTGAAATCTGGTGTCGGTGCAAAGGTGCCAGACAGCGAACATGGAATTGACTCACTATATGCCACCATCCTCACTCAGGCATTCCAAAAAGGAGGGCAGGAGGTGGAGACATCAAAGCGGGTGCTCTATGCTGTTGTCACCACTCGTCGACCTCTCTCAGTCTCTGACCTTGCTCCACTTGTTGTTGATGCAACTGAAGAGACAGACAAAGATGCTGTCCAGAACAGTCTAGGCTTTTTGTTCTATGCTGTTCTGTATATCTCCTCCCGTGACAACTGCATCTACACATTCCACAAATCCTTTGTAGATTTCATCCTTGATCCGAGTCGCTCCCCCGAGCATGCGAACACAGCTATGACTTATTTTCGGGACCGGACACATGACTGTGTGCGCATCATGAACAAGTCCTTACATTTCAACATGTGCAACCTCGAATCATCTTTTCTTCTTGACGACGATGATAAGCACTTGTCAGAGCGGGTGGAGACCAACATCAAACCAGAGCTTCGCTATGCTTGTCAACATTGGGCCACGCACCTCGCGTCAATGAGGCAAGATTGCCAGGAGGATGTGCAGCAGCTTTCAGCATTACTACTCGATTTTTACAGGTTGAAAGTACTTTTCTGGATGGAGGCAATGAACTTGCTTAAGTTAGACTGCCGCCTTGCAACACACCTGGCTCACACCTGGGGATTACAGGTATGCAAATTGGGAATATTTTCAGTGCTGTGTGTTCACAATTCAATAGGTCCCAAATGCAGAGCTCAACGAGTACATGGCTGCTAGCCAGAGACTCTGGGCTTCATTCATCCGGGGCCAGGCTGCACTATCCACACCACATCTCTATGTCAGTAGTCTGGCAACAGAATTGGCCTTGACTTCTGCTGTGACTTTGACAAATTGGCGACAGCACTTCCCTGGGCTACCCTCTGTCAAATGCAAGGGCATCTCCTTGCACAGGATGTTAATGAGCATCAAGGGCCACGGCAATGATATTCGCTCTATGGGATTTTCGCCCGATGGTGCACGTGTTGTGTTTCACTCATATGACCATACCTTGCGAGTTTGGGATGCAATAATGGGCACTGAGGTGACCAAGATGGAGGGGCACAGCGACTCTGTCTACTCTGTGGGATTCTCGCCCAATGGCGCATGTGTCGTGTCTGGCTCACGCGACAAGACCGTGCGGATTTGGGATGCGACAACGGGCACTGAGGTGACCATGATGGAGGGGCACAGCAATGATGTTAATTCTGTGGGATTCTCACCCGATGGTGTACATGTTGTGTCTGGCTCAGATGACAATACCGTGCGGATTTGGGATGCTTCAACGGGCACTGAGGTAACCAAGATGGAGGGGCACAGCGACTCTGTTTGCTCTGTGGCATTCTCGCCTGATGGCGCGTGTGTCGTGTCTGGCTCGCGCGACAATACCGTGCGAATTTGGGACGCGACCATGGGCACTGAGGTGACCAAGATGGAGGGACACAGCGGCTGTGTTTATGGTGTGGCATTCTCACCCGATGGTGCACATGTTGTGTCTGGCTCACGTGACAGCACTGTGCGAATTTGGGATGTGACAACGGGGGCTGAGGTGACCAAGATAGAGGGGCACAGCGACTCTGTTTATTCTGTGGCATTTTCACCTGATGGTGCACGTGTCGTGTCTGGCTCGCATGACAATACCGTGCGAATTTGGGACGCAGCAATGGGCATTGAGGTGACTAAGATGGTGGGGCACCGCCACTGGGTCACCTCCGTGGCATTCTCACCCAATAGTGCGCGTGTTGGGTCTAGCTCAAACGACAGCACTGTGCGAATTTGGGATGTGACAACGGGCACTGACGTGACTAAGATGGAGGGGCACAACCACTGGATCAACTCCGTGGCATTCTCACCCAATGGTGCACATATCGCGTCTAGCTCAAATGACAAGACCGTGCGAATCTGGGATGCAACAACGGGCACTGAGGTGACCAAGATGGACGGGCACAACGACTGTGTCAATTCCGTGGCATTCTCGCCTGATGGCGCGCATGTTGTGTCTGGCTCGCACGACAAGACTGTGCGAATTTGGGACGCAACAATGGGCACTGAGGTGATCAAGATGGAGGGGCACAGCAATGATGTTTATTCTGTGGCATTCTCGCCCGATGGTGCACATGTTGCATCTGGCTCACGTGACAGCACTGTGCGAATTTGGGATGTGACAACGGGCACTGAGGTGACCAAGATGGAGGGGCACAACCACTGGGTCAACTCCGTGGCATTCTCACCTGATGGTGCGCGTGTCGTGTCTGGCTCGTGCGACGATACCGTGCGAATTTGGGACACCACAATGGGCACTGAGATGACCAAGATGGTGGGGCACCGATACTGGGTCAGCTCCGTGGCGTTCTCGCCCGATGGTGCACGTGTTGTGTCTGGCTCACGCGACAATACTGTGCGAATTTGGGACACAACAATGGGCACCGAGGTGACCAAGATGGAAGGGCACAGCGGCTATGTTTATTCTGTGGCATTCTCGCCCGATGGTGCACATGTCGTGTCTAGCTCAAACGACAAAACCGTGCGAATCTGGGATGCAATAACGGGCACTGAGGTGACCAAGATGGACGGGCACAACCACTGGGTCAGGTCTGTGGCATTCTCGCCCGATGGTGCGCGTGTCGTGTCTGGCTCGTGCGACGACACCGTGCGAATTTGGGCTGCGACAACGGGCACTGAGGTGACCAAGATGAAGGATGGCTGGGTGGTGCAATGTGGACAACCCCACATCCACTTGTTTTGGTACCCCCCTGAGCTTCATCACACCCTTTTGTACCCCCCTGGCCTCTGTCTGATCTCTAACAAGGGTCAAACCTATCTCAAACTTCATGCCCATACTCTGGGCAATGACTGGCAGCAAATATATCACTCTCCACATCCCACCTCCTATTTGGAATGCTAGCTTAGGTCCTTTTTTCTTTTCTCTATGACACCACATACCACAACTCTTATTACAAGTTGGATAGACTTGTTGACACATGATACTCCTGACTATGTTGCAATGCATACTATTCGTTTTAGTGTTGCAAAGTAAGGTGTTCACTGTGGAAAGACACCTGAAATTGGCAAATTTCCTGTGCCGGAAAGTGCCATTTATTGTTGATGAACTGTCAAAAATTTGGCCACCGGCTAAAAGGCGTGGGAAAGACATGAAAAAATATGGAATCGACGCAGATTTCCAAGGCGAGTTTGAATTTGAAAGAATTAGAAAATTTCATCAAGCGGTTGTTGCGTAAAATGATAATCATTCGCCGATCACATATTCTGTCACCTGGTTGATCTCTGTGTATTTCCAGACTCAATCCATCGCCTGCACAAAGGGGCAAAGTTCAGAAGATGACAACTCGCAATAGAGAAGTTAAGCGGCTACATGATGTGTTGGTGGAATGAGGATTCAATGTTTCCAAGGTTGGAGCCAAATGTTCCCCGGTTTGCCCATTGAAGAGTCGAAGACACTGGGTGTTGCATGGCCCAGCTCTTGAGCGAACAAGAGAATTTTTAACCAGCACCCTCTGCCGGAGGTGATCACCCAAGGAGGGCATGAATGTATTTTTCTTCCCAAATTTCACTGTGAGATTGAAATGGCAAGAGATTTTCTACATGTCCATACTTCACTTAAATTGAATTACACAGTACTGAGCATGGTGCAAGTATCTCTATCCCGGAGACCGGCTTTGCTGTAGCTGACACCAGGGGCAAAAACCCACGCACATGAAATTTATGTGTTTGCTAATATGTATCCGCTGATGCGAAGGGTGCTCGCTCAGCGGAAAGGCGCTGACCTAATTCTCCTCGATTTTCCGAACTTCCTCGAATCCGTTGATTTGGGTATCAATCGAGAGCTAACCACGAGGGCTACCATTATTTGCTTTCTTGAAGGAATCTGTTCCAGACAGAATGAGTTTGAAGCACTTCTTTGGTAGGCAATGTCAGCCACTCGGGCATGAATTTGTACCTGTTTGCTGCATATTCTATCCCCCACCCTCGTCACGTGCATTTAGGTAGAATTGCTCGCTTCGCTCGCAAAAAATTCGTGAGGCTCGGAGCGGTCCGGGTGATTTGCGAAATGGGAGTGGGGCTGAAAGAACTACCTCCCAACGAAAAAAAAAGGCTGCATACCATATGGTCACGAAGTCAGACGCGGGGAATCGAACCCCGGCTTTCCTCCAACTTATGGTTAGAAGGTCTCGGGTAGGGTAGGAGGGTGTGCACCATGCACTACATCTGAATTACTACTCTGTCGCTATACTGGACAACGTGGGTGCATCTTTGCAGCATGAACGAATTTATCGAGTTTGTCACTGTGGTTGATTTCAACTGACTGCCAACAGAGCTTGGCCAGATCGGCAGGTTTTCTTCACATAACTGAGAGGAGTAGGTACCAATGCTGTATGGAGCCGGCGGTACTCTTGATTAAACAGAACTCAAAAAAAACTGTAACGAACAAAAAACGCAAGGCGATAATCGGACACAGGGAATCGAAGCCCGACTTCCCTCGAAAAGCTCCTCCGCCAGTATCAGAGTAGGCAGAGAGTGCGTGCACCGTACACTACATCCGAAGTACATCCCAATAACGGAGGTGTGTCAAATGAGTGCGATTAATCTTATCAAGAGCGTGAAGTCCGTCTTTGGGTCGAAATCGCGAATCGCGAATCGTTTCTTTTATTGCCGAGGGTGATAAGTACGTATCATGGAAGATAAAGTAACAGAGAATGACCAAAATTGAGGAGAAAAACAATTTCAATATGGATCATTCAGACGCGGGGAATCGAACCCCGGCTTCCCTCCAACTTATTCCGGGGTTACTAGGTTAAGAGGGCGTGCACATGCACCACGTCCGAATTATTCATCTGTAGTGATATTGCAGCAGGTGGATACATTTTGCAGCATGAATGAAGTTATCGAACTTTGTCAATGTGGTTGATTTGAACTGACGCTTGAACAGTGCTTGGCCAGATCAGCAGTTTCTTCACACACACACACCTCGCGTTGAATGTACCAGATACGCCGATGAAATAAAACCAACGCCGAATTGTACTCGGACACGGGGAGTCGAACCCCGACTTCCCTCCAAGATCTCGTGAGAACATCAAAATAGCCAGGGAGGGCGTGCACCATATAATACATCGGAGGTACAGTCCTAATAACGGAGGTGCACCAAGTGAGCATGAGGTACGTCAAGATTCCAATTGGCTTTACTGTAATTGCAGTTTCAACTTCAACCGTGGACTGACAGTGATATCGTGGATGGGTTTTTATTATTATTGCCTAGTGTGGTAAGTACATGGAAGATAAGTAACAGAGAATCACACGGAGCAGCATAGCCCAGTTGGTATTGCTGCCATCTTCCCGTGATCACGTTTAAAAAGAGCGTAATCGAAGGGGCGTGGGTTCGAATCCCAGACCATGTCGGGCGCCGGTACAATGCTTCTGCAGCGGACTCGGTTAGCCAGCTCCAATGAGCAGCGGCCCAATTTTTTTTTTTTGTAACAGAGAATCACTGAAATTGAGGAGAAAAACAACACCCTTCAAGACTATTCAGACGCGGGGAATCGAACCCCGGGTTCCGTCAGTAGCCATTCTTTATGTCCCATGGGGTGAGGGCGTGCACCGTGCACCTCATCCGAGTTACTGTTCTGTAGTGAAACCGGAGGACGTGGGTGCATTTTTGCAGCATCAATGAAGTTATCGAGTTTTGTCAATGCGGTTGATTTCAACTTACTACCAAGAGGCTTGAATGAGCAGCGACTCTCTTCACACACACACCTTGCGTTGAATGTACAAGACACGCATGAAATAAAATAAAATAAACACCGTGATCATGTCGGACTCGGACAAGGGGAGTTGAACCCGACTTCCCTCGAAAATCCCCTACAATCATACCACAATAGGCAGGGAGGGCGTGCACCACACACTAAATCCAAAGTACATCTCGATACCGGAGGTCCGTCAAATGAGTGCGATTGGAATGGAAGGTGTCTCGAACATATCAAGATTTAATTAGAGGTCACAAACTTACAATCCACCTCCATAATGTCCAGCAGAGAAGAGAGGAGTTTAGTGCAAGAAAAAGGCGCAGGGATAACGAATTTTAAAGGCATCACACCATCTCAATTTCAACACTCGGACACGAGTATTCGTACCCCGACTTCCCTCGAAATCCTCCGTGATTTCGCCCATAAGGGAGGATGTGCAGCATGCACCATATCCAATTTACCAGCTTACACGTGGGTGCAGCTCGAAGTTGAGTTTCTTGTTCTCCTTGAAACAATGTTCCCACGGTTCAACTTCTTCAAATCTGCTTGAAGTCTAGTATTGTCTCTCCCTCCGTCGTTTTTAGAGATTTCCGAGAGCAGATCACCGAGGATACTATGGAAATTTTCAAGCGGTGAATGACCGTGAATGAAAATTGAGCAAAAGGCGAGAGGGAAGAGGAAACGATCCCCTAGGGAATACACAGATTAAAAACGCTCTCAAAGTCAAACTCGGACACAGCGAGTCGTGCATTCTGCAAAGTGATCTTCCCACTGTTCAAATCCTTCTCTCCCTCGTCTGCAATGGAAATTGAGACGAGAGAAGGATATTCCAGGTAGCATGTAAGTTTCAAGGATCGAGGAAATCCCTGTGAGTAAAAGGCAATTAAATGGCGGAAAGCAAGGAGGAAAAATCTTGTTCTTGGCTTCATTCCCCACAAGAGAAGAGACAGCCGTGTATATTTTAGGCCGTGGGGGCCAGCGGCAGTCTCATGTACTACCGCTGGCTTCCAGGTCGCAGGGCAATGGGGATGCGCGAGAATGAACCCCCATCGCCCTACTAACGACTGTCTCCAATGTTCAACAATGTAACTAAAAGTAGTAGCTATGCTAAAATTAAAGAGAGTTAGTTCGAAGGTGAGGGTGGGTGGGGAAAAGAAGATCGTCGAGCTCTTGAGGTGAATCGTATCCCACAGCTCTTGTCGACCTAGCGGAGTGTCGTGACGGCGAGAGGAGAAAGGTCCGATCGCCCCATCACTCCGCTGTCACAAGACATTGGGCCGCTTCTCAAGTTCAGCGGTCCGCCCATCTTGTTCTTGGCTTCATTCCCCACAAGAGAAGAGACAGCCGTGTATATTTTAGGCCGTGGGGGCCAGCAGCAGTCTCATGTGCTACCGCTGGCTTCCAGGTCGCAGGGCAATGGGGATGCGCAAGAATGAACCCAAAAGGCGCCGCCCAGACAAGGGCAGCCCGAGAAGCCCATGGCTAACCCACAAGCAAAAAGGCGGTATTGATACTCTTCAGGCTATCTGGGAGCAGGAGGATATTTGGTTTGATACCGGGAGGGATCGTGCCTGATGTAGTTGAAAACTTGAGCACTGGAGGTTCTGTACGCTGGGAGAGAGAACCCAGTAATGCGCAGAATTATTGCTGGATTCAACTTGGATTATGGGAAGAATCTGCAGAGATTGATAAAGCGTTGCGAAGGACTGGGAGGGTTGGGCCCGTATGACTCGGAGGCGTAAGCCAGCGCGAGTTCAGCCTTGAGGCTTGAGCTTCTAAGTGACGCGCACAAATTGCGCGAGGGAGGCCTGAGCTCGACGTTGATGAGGTTGAACAAGAGTATTTGCATGGGCATCAACAGAGTTCAAGCTCGCGGGATTTCGGGGAAAGAGAGCTGGTGCTTGATTTTGCAATATATGAATTGCAGAACCATTGGCGGTCTCTAAAGAAAGCTATCATTCCTTTAGGCTGAACGGTGAACATCAGCACGAGAAAATGGCGTTGGAATTCGCTTTTGGCACAACTGCCAGCGACCTGTGAGTTGAAAATTTTAGGCTCATTTGTAATATAGCAATTCATAATATAATCTTGAGATCAAAATGAGTTCAGCGACGGCGTGAGATCTCGATTTTGACGAGTTAAAACGAAGAGCGGACTAGGCCCTACTATATCCTTGTTTCGTATGGTTAAAGGTGCTTATTCTCAAAGCGCGAAGTGCGAGCTGGTATGGTGGGTAAGACACACTCCTTTTAAGTCAAGTTCTATAGTCTTGGAGGCGGAAGCCCGCGGGATTGGGGTACGGGCCGTGTTGCAATCCTCGACTGTATGTGAATCACCAAAGAAGTGGGTGGAGCTATCTTAAGTCCGGGTCTGCCGGGCCCCAGAGAGATGAAATAAGCTGGGTGTAACCGTAGGCGCAATAATACGACATCAGAAACTGATTTAGACCTGGAGACAGAGATGGGTCATGGTTTGTGTTTGATTTCGGAATTTTGGACAAGAAGTGAGGGAAAACAGCCTCCCCGACCGCGCGCTTTGACGCCGGCCGTCGATGACTCTCCGCTTTTCCACATTCAGAGCATAATTTCAGAGTCTGATTGCGCGCGTGAACCTGCGAACGGTGTTCGCGCCGGAACATACTCTTCCGAGGGAAGTTCAGGCTCATGCAGGCAGTCACTGTAGACTGTATAGGCCTCGGCGCCGAGTGGCCGTTATTATTTCAACTTGACCGGAATCGATCGTGCCGAGTTGTGAGTATCCTGATGGGCCTATCGTTTTGGACAATCGTAAAGATAGTTCTGATTTTGCCTGAGTACAGTAAATGAACGGAAGTCCGAGTTTAGCTTGGTCAAAATCTCGGAGAGCATTGCGAATTCGATAACAAGATCGGATACGGTTAACCCTACATTTGAGGTCCGAACGATGATGTAACTTCCTCAGACGTAAGGTTGGAACGGCATGGCCTGTCTCGACTCGGACTCGTGGTCGCCAGTTACAGGCCAGAATATAAGGGGAATACCATGATTTGGCGGATCCGGAGGAGACATGACCCCGTCTCTCGGCGTCTGCTATAATCTGTATATGCTCTGTGCCCAGGTGGATAATGCGATCCCGGGGACACAAGTACCACTACTGTGATCTCACGATATTCGGGAGTGCAGAAGGGTCTCACAGGGTGTCTGCGAACTCTTCGTTGAACGAGATAAATGTGAACGGTACCCAGTGTGGATCACATGGGTTGTCAATGGCGAGTGGTCGTGAATCGTGTCTGCAAATTGTGATATCGTGAAGGGCGTGCCCGTAAATCATGAATGGCGCAGATTTTGTGAGTTGTAGACAGCGGGGTGAGTGAATGGTGTGAATACATGTGAATCGTGGTCGTGAATCTCCCTGCATCGTGAAGGCGTGAACCGCGTGAATTGCAAATTATGAAGGGCGGTCAATTGTAAATGGTGCAAACCCGTGAACTTGAATTGCGACTCGTGAGTGGTGAGAACGTGAATCGTGAATATTGTTAGCCCTAGGATTGTAGATCGTCAATAAACATCTTGAACCGTGACCCTGGGTGAACATTCGTCAATCGTGAGTGGCGCAAGATCTGCAAACATGAGTTGTGAATTCAACTGAATTGTGAGTGGCGCAAACGCCCTCAAGGCCCGTAAACGTAAATCTGATCGTGAATTGCGCGAACGCGCGTGAACGTAAATCGCGCACGAATACCGGTGAATCGTAAATAGCCCAGAGGCCCGTGAACGTGAATTTACTCGTGAATGGCGCGACCGCCCGTCAACATGAATTGTGAATTGAAGACCCGTTAACTGTGAAAGGCCCAAAGGTGAGTCTGTAGGAGAAACGAAGATGGAAACCGTCGGCCCGTGAAGCTGATCATGATTTATGAACGGCGTGAACGCACGCGAACGTAAATCGTGAATCAATATGAATACCTGTAAATCGTGGATGGCTCGTGCACATAAATTTTACCCGTGAACGTGAATGGCCCGAAGGCCCGTGAACCGTGATATTTAATCGTGAATGGCGGGAACGGCCGTGGACGTGAATCGTGATGCCCGTGAATGGCTAAAGGC